ACTCTTTGATTTATATTCTAAAAATCCACACTTTTAGAAATTTGATACGATGTGGTTGACCACAGAAATAGCGGCCACATTACAGAGGCACAGGAGCTGAGTTCTGCTCTACATGGGAGACTACACACATACTAAACTATTACATTCTGTTAGAGGTAGAACAGAGGTTTGTGCATTTGTGAATATTTATTAGGAAAATGTATTCATTGTCAAGATCTGAGAAACAGAGCCACCGAGGACTAAGTCAATCAGTGCAGGGTTCACCACAGCCGTGAGCGCTGCAAACACAAGGAGCAGTTCAATCCTGAGCACTTCAAATACACTCGAGGAATCTGAGAGCAGCGGAAGCCCCTGGCAGTTTAAACAAAGCAAACGTGACATTCAGTACACTTGCTTCTGTGAGACTAACAGAACTACTTGTTTTCCGTAATTAGAAAATTGTTTACTTTTTCATACGAAAAAGACTAAGAAAAGATCAAATTCAGAAAGGTTATTTGTCTGAATCCAATCATATTCATCATTCAGTAGCATTAAGACATCTTGCAAAGAAATGGCCATTCCTGGGTCAGGGTACACACGCCAACCAGGAACTGATCTTCCCAGGCCAGTCTCAGAGTGTCTTAATTGCATCCTCTTCTCTCTTTGTCTCGCTTAGAGTTATATATTCATAGCTTAAAACCTGGTCACTGGAGTTCTCAGATTTTGGTTTTTTAAATGCCGACTCTTCCGGCAGAAGGGATGTGCAGTGCTGAAGGGCCTGTGTGATGTCATCGATGGTCCATCTGTCTTCAGGGAGGGCGTGCTCTTCAAGGGTAAATGGCCCCTGTTTGGTGCGGGTCAGCTCCAGCACGTTGGCACAGGAAGAGAGCTCTGCAGTACCCAAAGTGAAAACGTGAGGTGAGCCCGCAACCTTCCAGATGGCAGAACTCTACCTGGACGCCAGGGCGCCGGACCAAGGCCTGAGGTAAACCAGGGCTGAAGCAGGGACGACTGTTGGTGATTTAAACTTACACCCGCTTTTCAAAACTACCTAGCACTTGAAGCAACCCATGAGGTAAATATCCCCCCTTACGTGCACACAGGACAGTGTGACCTGTCCACTGTCATGTGACCAGGGAACAGAAGAGGCAGAACCAGAACTTTCTGCATGTTTTTAAGACTGTGGCTTCCAGGTTAAAAAGAAAAAAATTGATTTGTATCAATGTAAATAACTTTTAGAAGGATAAATCTTTTTGTTCCTGAACCCCACTTTGAGTTAAAATGTTTTCCACTTGAAAAAAAAGTTGGCTTTTTCATCCATTATCACTGTGTTCATTTTCTGCCCCTCGATGTGTTTCCCGCCCACCCCCATTACCAGCGCCTCGCTGCAGCTGCAAGGCTTCTGAGTGCAGGCTATAAACCCACAGTGCATCTGAGCTAAAAGCAGCAACAGTTCACTTCCTCAGCCAGTACTCAGAAAAGCGAGAAACAGAAAATTCCCTCTCCCATCAAAAAGGAGCATTACTCTATAAATGATAATTCATAATTCATTTTTCTGCTTACCTTTGCCAATGTCATTGACCAAGCTTCTGATGTAAAAGCCTCCTCCGCACTCAACATCTGGAATGTTAGCAGGGACACGGTAAAAGGCTGACCTCTGAGAGATCCACTTTACATAAAAATGATGCTCTTCAACACATGTAGAAACGCACTATGCAAACAATCGAGCCATAAAATATTTATGTGCTAAACCATAAATTATTCATCCAGCAGCATATGTGTGTGTGAGATTGAAAAGTCAGTGTGGCGCAGGCAGAAAGTCATGAACACATTTTAAATTAACTGGCAAGCCAAACCATGTCAGTACCTCAGCCTTGTTCATTTAATAGGTTTTAAATAGAAATCCCAGATTTTCTATCATGAACTGTAGGTTCTTAAGTATTTTCAGATCTTATAACATTTGAGAAATTTAACTAAACACCACCAAAAAATCCCTTTGGCAATGAAAAGAACCACATTGGGGTGCTGAAAACCATAAAATAACCTAAAACCACACAGTGCCATAAAGCTGACAGCGTCCCATTTAGCGTGGCTGCACACGCTGGGCAGAAAGCAAGGTGTGTGCGAGGCAACTCACCACACCCCGAGTGGAGTGGCTACACACTGCACACTCGATTGGAGTGGCTACACACTCCATGGTACACATTATTTCTAGTTGCATCAATCAAATACAGAGATCTGGAAGAATAATCGAAACTCAGCCCCTGTGGACTTTAATTCTTCCCTACAGCTCCCAGCTGGGGGGTACTGAGGTAAGATGGGGGCAAAGCACTGGGACCAAGCTGGAGGGCCAGCATTTCTGAGCGAAGGCAGCTGCCCTTCCCCACTCTCCAGAAGTACCATGAGGCACTTCTGACTGGCACAGCCAGGAAACCATGATCGTTCATGGCGTCTGTCTGCTCTGTCAAAGAGGAGGCTGTGCTTTCACGGAGTGAACGAAATGGATCACTTGGTAGGTTTTTTCTTCATTATTTGTCAAGCCGGTTAGAATGGGGAAGCGTGAGCGTAGGTGAGCCTCGTTTTCTCACCGGGCCACCTCTGCAGGCACTCACTACGCCTGGAATCAGGACACCAAGGAGAAGCAGGGAGGGTGAGGGAAGGGAGGGCTGGAGAAACGCCGTCTGAAGGGACTCTAGCCACGATGACTGAAATTAAGGGCTGGATGGATTTCCAGAAGCCTGGGGACTAACAACCACATTTTAAAAACTAGGTAAACATTTTTAAAACTATATAAACAGGGGTTTTTTTGTTTTTAAATTTACTTCAAATATGGATCACATGATCAAATTGGCAACATGAACTCAAACTGTGAGTAGGTGTCCAACAGCACTTGTGTCTCCCGTTTCCCCGTTCTCACATGGTTGGCGCCAACGTGCAGGTCAGAGAGGGATAAACACAACCTTTTATCCCCAAACCAAACATGCTGTGCTTTAAAGGGGCAGATCAACATTTACTCTAAAATGATATGCATAAAGCATGAATCAAAATGGAAGGAAAAGTATATGTAAGATAAAAGTGAGTTTATATATTTATGTTTATATATATTTATATTATATTTCTACCATTACAGGAGTGAGGAATTGATTTGCATGTATGTCTGAGTACCATGTATATACGTGGTACCCAAGGAGGTCAGAAGAGGGGTGGGAACCTCTCAGACTAGGAGTCACGGAAGGTTGAGAGTCACCATGTGGGTGCTGGGAACCAAACCCAGGTCCTCTGGAAAAGCAGCCGGTGCTCTTAACTGCGGAGCCGTCTCTCCAGCCTCCAACCTTAAGATCTTGAAAACACACATTCCCTACCTACTTCTCTGAAGAGATCTAAAGTATTTTACTCTCAAGTTTATAGTAAAATGACCGTGAAACATCTGGAAATTAGCCCGGTTAGAAGTTTCAGAACCTCTTAGAGTCAGTTTTATTTACCTCATGAAATCAGACCATAAAATTTTCTTATCCAAGACCAAAAGGATCCACTCTGTAAAATTAGCCTGATGTGGGAGATCCTTCTGTCTATGTGTTGCTTCTATTGGTTAATGAATAAAGAAACTGCCTTGGCCTGTTGATAGGGCAGAACTTAGGTAGGTGGGGAAAACTAAACTGAACACTGGGAGGAAGAAGGGTGGAGTCAGAGGGAGATGCCATGGAGCTGCCAGAGACAGACGTGCTGAAACTTTGCTGGTAGGTCACAACCGCATGGTGATGCACAGATGACTAGAAATGGGTTAAATTAAGATGTAAGGGTTAGCTAATACAAACTTAGAGCTAATTGGCCAAGCAGTGTTTTAATTAATAAAGTTTCTGTGTCATTAATTTGGGTCTAAGCTAGCCGGGTGACTGGGAACTAACAAACAGCTCTTCTTCAACATTAGACAAACACCAAGTAAAGATACATACAAAGCAGATGATTCCAAAGCTCTCCGTCCTACCTAACGTGAAAAGCGGTGGCTGGAACCTCAGAAGGGAGATGCTGTAGACAGTCACCAGTCTGGCGGGTCTGGCCTCCACCGCTTCTCCTCTCTTCATTAACGTCGAGAGCCTCTGGCCATCCTTCTTCAGCGCAGAATAGCTTTGTGAGGAGAGAGCAGAGTGAGACAGGTGCTGGGGGCTGAGCGGTATCTCACGGGGCGGGGGTGGGGGGCGGGGGGGCCCGGGGGCACAGCGAGCAGCTCCTCACACTGAAACTGAAGACCCTTCCAAAGTTCAGCTAGTCCTTTCTCCTGGTCTACTCCTGTCTCTGCGACAGACATAAACAGTGGGCAGCACCCTCCTCAGCCTTCCTGGAGATCACCCTGGTAGCTCCCTTCACTAGCCCCCAACCCTGAAGCAGCAGCTTCTCCCTGAAAAATGTCTCATAGTAAACAGAGCTTTGTGTTGTGAAGTCTCTGACACCACAGACTCATGAATAACCACAGAAAATGCTAAGGCCGTCCACATACAATAAACATATATATTTAACTTAGTCTAACAAATGATTAAAACATTTTATGCAGATTTTGCTAAAAGTTTCAGAGTTTTATGTTTGAGAAAAATCTTGAAGAAACATATCTCCACAGATACAGTTCAATGTTCATGGCAAAAACAACATCAAAATTTCTAATACAGATAAAATCTAAATTCTAAGTGAACTGTCAGTGACATATCCTGGCATTGCCTATTAACGCACACACAGATGTGACTAAGTGGGGGCCCGAGTGTCTCCCCTCCCGGTCACCTGCTGAAACTCTCAATACCAAGATGACAGCATTAGGAGGAGAGGCCTCTTGAAGGGTGACCAGGTCATAACCCAGAGCCCTCAGGAAGAAGTTGTTGCTCTAGACAGATGCCTTCATCTCTCTGCCTCACCAGGGCATCATCTGGGAGAAGGCAGGCTCTCACTGGCAAACAATTCAGCAACACCTCAGGCTGGATGTAGCAGGACCATGGGGAGCAGCCCCGAGTCTGTGGGGCTTTATCGTGGACACCCTAGGACACCAAGATGTGCGGTAAGGCAGCTGATGCTCACATTTTACAAAGTTAGGACTTTATCTGCTGCGTATGCTGTCAGGACTCGGGGGGGGGGGGGGCAGCGAGCACACACACATTAGGACTCTGACACAGGCCTGATATCTACACACGGGACCTGAAGAGTCGGTGAGACGGGACGCACGGAGGCCAGGCTGTGCTAACGTCCAGCACAGATCAAATGTATTTCTGTCTTGGGACCAAAGCTCTGCATCCAGGCTGAATCTGCTCATCTCTTTCTGATTATTTACAATGTCCAGATTAAAACAGAGCAAAAGAAAAGCCCACTTTATTCTAATTATTGATCTTAACCTATAGATGATAAATTAAACATAAATCCAGTAACTGAACTTACAGTGGGGGGACTTGCATTATATTCCCAGTGAACTTCTGCAGAACACCTTCAATATCTTCTTGTGTTATTTTATCTGCCAAAAATCAATCAAGAGAAGACAAGATAGCAATGGAGGCAACATCCACAACAGCTCTGAAAAATCTTTACTATTATTTTTCAATAAAATACAAATTACAGGTGTTGGAGACATGGTTCCGTGGTTCAGCGGCTAGTTAACTCCTAGCACCCAAACGGCGGTTTGCGTGGCTATGATTTAAATCCCAGTAGATCTGATGCCCTCTTCTGGCCTCAGAGGGCACCAGGTACAGTGTTGTACAGATAGACATAAGAAACACCTATACAAATAACTAAAAAAAAAATCATAAATTACAGTATGTGTCTTATAGGCCAAATGCCACCTTGTTGAAAATAATAAAATGCATATTCATGAGATGCAAAGCAAATTTTATGTTATTCTTTATAGAAACTTAATTTCCCTTAGTTCAAGTCCCACCCTAACCCAGTTGTTCCCCACTTAAAAATGATGCGTCGTGAGCACTGGAGACTCTGATGGTGCCTGTAGAGAATCCAAGAAAGATATGAACTCAGCTGCAGACATGGCCTACAGTAATCAATACCAGGTGATCAAAGGGCTCAACGTCTGCGCATCTGTCACACAAAGGGGACAGTGGGCACCACTGCACCTTAAGTCTCACTTCATAGAATTTAACTGTTCTGTGCCGTGAGATAAATTTCCTACGCACACATTCATGGTCTCCGAGCAGAGCTACTGATCTGTCTTCCCAGTCCTTCTCCGCCTGGGACTTCCCTCCACTTTTAAACGATCATTGTCAGTCAGCTCAAACGAACCAGAACAGAAAAGGGATGCACGCAGCAAGCACTTTGGTAAGCTCGCTAGCATTTGAAGGCCGATTTTAGAAAATTTGTACAGATACAGACTTGTATCCAAAGCCTTTCACACGCCAGTCGTGTTTCCAGGCTCCTTTTGGTGCATCCAACAGAAGGACGCAGCGTGACAGCCGTTCAGGTTCAGCATTTGGGTTGTCAATCTGCAGATGATCAAGAATAAACCGCGTCTTGGAAATATTCTGTAGCTCATTTAGGTTACTGTCAGTGTTTTTATTATTCTGTAGATAATTTAAACTTATTTGGTAAAATGTACATTGGATTTTATTTGACAAAGATTAGACAGAAATTATTGTGCTCTGAGTTGTTCCAATGCCACGACAACACTTTAAGAACACTGGGAGCACTGTGTAGAGAGTCTCAGCCTCACTGCGACCTTGTGAGCTAACCGTAAACAAAACTAGAATCTGTGAGACGTGGCCAGCAAAGAGCTACAACCTCTGCTGCAGCCTCCAACACCACAGAGCGCAGACAAGCAGCCTCATCCGGGCCACTGCACAGAGATGTGGCTAGAAGTCTGGCTGAGGACTCTCCCATGGAAAAGGTTTACTCCATTGTGACATTAAGAAAGAATCACAGTTGACACCTTAGTTGTGCTATTCTGAGCTTGCCAAATCTAGGTGGTCCATGCTACCACCAGGCTGGACTTGCTGAAGGCAACGCCATGGATGGTAAACCTGGTCCAGTGCATTAACTTAGCCAGGCAGTTCAGACAAGATGGATGTCCACTCCTGTTAGGCTCAGCTCTTTCCTGACATTCCTTTCCTGTGAACATGCTCACTTCTGCCCTACTTCAGTGGCTTTCTTTCACAGATGCACACACACACACGAATGTACACACACGGATGTACAATACACAGAAATATATACACACATGGACATACACATACAGACTTACAACACACACAGATGTACATATACACTCACATGCACAGATGTACAACACACTCACACACAGACACGCACACATGGATGTATCCACACTCACACACATGGGTACACACACACACACACACACAAAATACAGAGACATGGTCCTTCTCATTCCACTTCTGTGTACTGTCTCCCTTTGACTACACAGCTCAGGCATCTGGGGTGCATGTGCTGTTCATTCCGGCCATCTTCAACAACATGCTGAGCTATTAGCTCACCAACAAAATCCTGAGCTTTGAGGACAAAGACAGTTTTTCTTCTGAGATAACATACACTATTAAGACAGCACTCAAGACGTTCTTGTTCTTGCTGAGATTTAATTGGCTCAGGGTAATATAATCTCCAGGTTGAAGGGCATTTAAAAGGCACCGGGACTCATTTATCCAATGTTAGGACGACCAGACAGAAAGCCCACAGAGCAGGTTATTCTATAACAAAAGCCAGGCTGGCGGCACAGAGGAAGCAGTAAAACGCTGGCTGTACCTAAGGCTGGTCCTAGTCCAGCAAAACAGCTGTCCCATGATTTAACCATGCTACTACCATAAGATCTGGAAGAGGCGAGTTCTCCACGCCAAGGATGCGCAGTGAGGAGGTGCGGGACAAGTGCCGAAGGCCACAATGGGCCATCCACGTGAAGGCGTTCATTCTTTAGGCTGGGGCTGTAGCTCAGTGGTAAAGCAGTTGCCTAACATGGAAAAAGGTCCTGAGTTCAATCCCCAGCACCACACACAGAAAACTTCATCCCCATCACACTATCACACACACCAACTATATCACACACATGACCTATATCACACACATGAACAGGTTGTACAGTCCCATCCCCATTACACTATCACATACATGAGCTATCACACACACAAACTATCACACACATGAACTATCACACGCATGAACTGGCTGCACAGTCTCATCCCCATTACACTATTACACACATGAACTATCACATACATGAACCATATCACACACATGAACTATATCACACACACGAACTATATCACACACACAAACTATCACACACATGAACAGGTCGTGCAGTCTCATTGCCATTACACTATCACACACACGAACTATATAAAACACACAAAGTATCATACACATGAACTATATCACACACATGAACTATCACACGTGTCGATCCCCCCTATGCACCCAGCGCAGCTACTTACCTGAACTACAGAGCTCACAGCAGAGGACAGCTAAGGGCAATGCTCTACCACAGTGAGCCATCGCTGGACAGCTGAGCTACCACAGCAGCTACGGAGCCCCCCAGTCCTCGCTCACGGCGGTGTCTGGACTTAAACCGCAGGGAGCAAGGACTACCGTCTGAGAGGAGAAAGATAAACACCTCAAATGTGCTTCAGCCCAGAGTTTAAAAAATTCATAATTTTTTAACTTCTTTATAAAAGAACATCCCAGAGATGTTACCAGTAAGTACTACCAAATATTAGAAAAAGAAGTCATTTCAGCTGGGCACAAATGCTCAGGAAATGGAAAGACCATTAAGAGACAAGAAGAGCAGGGCCAAGGGCACAGCTCAGAGGCAGGGCCACTCTGAAGCCCGGGGTTCTCTCCAGCACCCAGCACCATGAAGATAAAACTGGATTTAAAAACAGTAACATCGTTCTTACATTGACCTAATTCTTTTTTTTTTTTTTTTTTGAGACAGATTTTTTTTTTCTGTATTTTTGGAGCCTGTCCTGGAACTAGCTCTTGCATACCAGGCCAGCTTCGAACTCACAGAGATCCACCTGCCTCTGCCTCTGAGTGCTGGGATTAAAGGTGTGTGCCACCACTGCACGGCAACATTGACCTAATTCTTAGGCCCAGTCAGAACCTTGAGAGGGTGAAGTTGGAGGCGGGGAAGAAAAACAAACACAAGGTAATCCTACTCACAAACACAGATGCAAAAACCTTAACTAAATTGGAATAGGAGGGTCTGTCTATGTGTTACTTTCATTGGTCAAATGAAGAAACTGCCTTGGCCTTTTGATAGAACAGCAGCTTAGATAGGTGGAGTAGACCAAACAGAATGCTGGGAGAAAAAAAGCAGAGTCAGGCAGATGCCATGACTCTCCTCTCTGAGACAGATGTAGGTTAGACTCATCCCGGTAAGCCACAGTAATGTGGTGATAACACAGATTATTAGAAATGGGTTAATTAAGATGTGAGAGTTAGCTGGGCAGTGGTGGCACACGCCTTTAATCCCAAAACTCGGGAGGCAGAGGCAGGCGGATCTCCGTGAGTTTGAGACCAGCCTGGTCTACAAGAGCTAGTTCCAGGACAGGAACCAGAAACTACAGAGAAACCCTGTCTCAAAAACCAAAAAAAAAAAAAAAAGGTGTGAGAGTTAGCCAAGAAGAGGCTAGAAATAATGAGCCAGGCAGTGTTTAAATGAATACAGTTTCCATGTAATTATTTCAGGTAAAGCTAGCCGGGAGCTGAGCGGTGGGAACGCTCCTTTTACAACACTAAATATCCACCTATCAAATCTACCGTGTATACATAATATATGCTGACCAAATTAAATCAGCTCCAGAAATGTGAAGTTAGTTTAACATTTAAATGTGGAGAAAACAGAATTAAAAAAAAATCAGAGAAAATCTACGTTAATACTGTCCTCTGGACATTATATGGCTATCTCAGTCATGAGTCCAGGGGCAGCTGTAGTTACCTGCATGAGACCAGGACAACTCACAACCCTCCCAAATTTACTCTCATGATTTAAAAGCAAACTAAATTTCAGGAAAGAAAGGAAGGAAGGAAGGGGGGGAGGAAGGAAGGGGGGAGGGAGGGAGGGAGGGAGGGGAGGGGACGGAAGGCGGAAGGAGGGAGGGAAGGAAGGAAGGAGGAAGGGGGAGGGGGAGATAGAGAAAGGATGAAGTCCTTTGATAAAATAGCTATTTTGGGGAGGGGTCTATAATAAATAAGGTGGGGAGATCTATCTTTCCTCCAAGATCACAGACCCTTTGGTGCTGAGCCCAGGATGGACCAACTTTACTGAGTGGACAATGCGGATTCCAGACAAGCCCACACCTGCTAAGGTGTTGACTTGTGACATGCAGAATAATGGAGAAAGTGCAAGGCCAATTGGGCATCCACAAAGGGAAAAATGATGGATTGTATATGTACTATCAGAGGCAAAGCAATAAAAATTTCTAGAATATAGAAAAATATTTCTTGCTTAAAAAATTGTGCATCACCTATGGACACCTGATTTTCAACAAAGAAGCCAAAATTATACAATGAAAAAAAGAAAGCATCTTCAACAAATGGTGCTGGTCTAACTGGACGTCAGCATGCAGAAGAATGGAAACTGATCCATATTCATCACCCTGCACAAAACTCAAGTACAAGTAGATCAAAGACCTCGACATAAATACAGATACACTGAACCTGATAGAAGAGAAAGTGGAAAATACTCTCAAATGCATTGGCACGGGAGACAAGTTCACAAACAGAACAACAATGCACAGGCACTAAGACTGACAATAAACAGGACCTCATGAAACTGAAAGTTTCTGTAAGCAAAGGACCCATCAAGAGGACAAAATGGCAGCCTACAGAATGAGAAAAGATCTTCACCAAGCCCACATCTGACAGGGGGCTGAAACTAGATATCAACAAATCATATAATCCAATTTAAAAATGGGATGCAGATCTAAATAGAATTCTCAACAGAAGAATCTCAAATGATAGAGAAACATTTGAGGAGATGTTCAACATCCTTAGCCATCACGGAAATGTAAATCAAAATGTCTCTGAGATACCATCTTGCATATGTCAGAATGGCCGAGGTAGCTAGGTCACTGATGGAGGAGGGTTATCTGTCTATTGTGTTATTTTCATTGGTCAATAAAGAGACTGCCTTGGCCCTTTGATAGGACAGAAAATTAGGTAGGCGGAGTAAACAGAATAGAATGCTGGGAAGAAGGGAAATGAGGCAGATGCCATGGAGCCAGCCACCAAGTCAGACATGCTGAATCTTTTCCGGTAAGCCACCACCTCGTGGTGCTACCACGAGATTATTAAAAATGGGTTAATATCAAGATATGAGAGTTAGTCAGTAACTAACTCTCTAGAGATAATGGGCCAGGCAGTGTTTAAATGAATATAACTTGTGTGTTATTATTTCTGGGGCTAAGCTAGCTGTGCGGGAGCCGGGCAGGATGAAAAGCAGGCCTGCCCGCAGCCCCTCACAACAGGTCACAGGTCTATTAATAGAAGAGGCCGAGGCACAATGCTGTGATAAACTGTGCTGCCTCCAAGCATGGAGTCCTGGATCCCAAACCCAGCAGAAACGGACACACGAGTGCAGGCAGGAGAGAGGGCTCAGCAGTGGGGAGCACTTGCTGTTGTTGCAGACTCAGGTTTGGTTCCCAGCACCCACACAGTAGCTCACAGCTGCCTATAACTCCAGTCTCAGGGTATCCAAGGCCCTCTTCTGGACTTCATGGGCAGCAAGCGTGTGTACACACACACACACACACACACACACACACACACACACACACACACACACGCACAGAGATAAATCTACATACAGGAGAATCCCAGCACAGAAGGATACATACTGTGTATGGGCTATCACCATAATGGGGAAGTTAGAGTCCACCTTGGGAAAAGGACGAAGGGAAGCCGGCTCACATGGGCAGGGAGGGAGAGGCTTAAGAAATCCACTTCTTCACTAGGGCAATAGCTACTTGGTGTTTGCTTTGTGATAATGAACTAGGCTGTAAATTTATCTGTTGCTCGCTGTATAAAATTTCATAACAAAGCTTAACTACAAATAAATGACAATATAAGGAGACGGCTAGAACTTCACTCTATCTTATATTTCAATACAGACCACTTCTCTCCGGTTTTAGACGTACTGAGTTACTGGCACAACACCTGAGCATCACTTGAGATTTGTGCCTGTGCGGTCAGTGGTTCACATCTGCTCCTTCCTGGAGCCCTCGGTGTCCCAGAGTTTGCATTTGCATATTGGTGCACTTACTGTAAATTACTTTTATTTCTTCCTTATAGTCTATGTGTTGCATTACGTTGACTTTAAATATATTTTTATGCAGACAGGTCACTGTGTTTCGGGTTTTATTTCAGAATAATCCTAAAGGGAAATAAAATCCTGGCCTTGGACGGCTGAAAACGAATTTCCCCACTAGGCAGTCAGTTCCTCAAGGCAGAAGCTAGAATTTAAACCCTTTCTTCTTGTCCGGTGCCCACTGTGGCTTCAGATAGCAAATATTTCATAATTTACTAAAGGAAATGGAAAAATCCTGCCAATCTGCAAAAAATGTCTGGAACCATCATCCTCCAGGGTCTTGAGTACTGCTCAGCACACCGTGTGGTGGATGCTTCTGTCTGGGGCTGGAGGGAAGCCCCTCCTCGTCTTCAGGACTCAGCACACTGTGTGGTGGATGCTTCTGTCCGGGGCTGGAGGGAAGCCCCCTCCTCATCTTCAGGACTCAGCACATCGACGCACTGTGCTATCTTTCACTTCTTAAAAATTTGTGATAGTGTGTGTGTATCGGCGAATCAATCCCATACCAGTTATGTTTTAAGGGGTTATTTATTTTGGGGGGTAAAACTTACATACACCATAAACCGTCAGGAAGGGAGCCTAGTCGCTGGAGCAGGAGCCTGGAGCAGGAGCCGGGAGCAAGCACCGGAACCAAGAGCCGGAACCAAGAGAGCCTGATCCGGATCTGCTTCTCTTTTTAAAAGAGAAATATACCACGCCCCAGTGGGCTGGTATTTCAGCAGCTATTGGCTGACGGAGCAGAAGTCGCTCCCCGCTGCACTGTGGGCTCGTATTTCAGCGACTATTGGTTGAGGCAGCGGAAGTTACTCCCACAACATGTGTGTGCATGTGTGTGCCCACCCCACCCCATGAGATGGGGGCACACATGTGGCGGTCAGAAGACATCTTCAAGTCCATGCCTGTCACCATGCTTGCTGCCAAAGTAGCTGGCCCATGACATCTGGAGTCTCCTGTCCCTGCCTCCAGCTCCGTTAGGACTTCTAGGTTTAGGGAGCTCCAGGCGCAGACCTACATGGGTGCTGGGGATGGGTACGCAGGTGCTCACCGCTGGCCACCCAGGGACTCATCTCTCTAACCCTGATCTTTCTTTAACGCAAAATTACAGATTAACAGATGTAATGCAGACATTTTTAAGATTCCAAAATGCTTAAGTCTAGGAAGAAAGCATTATCTCACCAGTTATCCCCACTCAATGAATGGCAGCATTCTCCAACCAGGTTTATAACCATGATCACAACTGGCGGCCTCCTCCCTATCCCCATCCAAGGCATCAGTAGTCCGGCTGCAGCACTTTAACTGACTTCTCTCTCCAGCTAAAACTGCCCTGGCTCTGCCACTGGCGCCCTGGTCCACGCGGCCATCCGCTCTGTCTCAGAGTCGTGTGATCGTGGCGTGTCTGTGTGCCACCCATCACCTTTCAGCCGCAATACGAAGCTGAATCATTGTTAATTGGGGGGTGACAAATAAAGACCTTAAGACACGCTCTGAACACAGGTTAGGAAGGGCAGACAGAATTAAATCTTCCTCTGGCCGCACTCCCTTCACACGGCCCTCCTCCACCATGGTCCTGAAGCTTCCTTTCCTGGTTTATGCTTGGCCAATGGGGATGAGAACACAGGAGGTTTACTCGTCTGGGTGTCATTGCCAGCAGCATCCCTGCATACTCTGAAAGTCCGCCCTGGCATCCCTGTGTACTCTGAAAGTCCTCCCCGGCGTCCCTGCGTACTCTGAAAGTCCTCCCCGGCGTCCCTGCGTACTCTGAAAGTCCACCCGCCTCTTGTCTTATGCCTCTTACACCTTAAAAGCCCCACTAACTGAAAATCATAGCTGGGCTTCCCCTAATAAGGCGATTTAGTTGAATGCCGGCATTCACCAATTCCAACAATAATTTCACAGCTACCTCAACATCTAGGATGTGGAAATCAATCAGTGGTTTTAATTTTCATTATATCGCTTGATTAACTGAGTGAGCTACTACATGGTACAGAGATATTGGCAGGGCAAGTGAAGGTCGCCTTGCTACCGGCATAATACGGAATCAACACAAAAGCACAGGGAAGCAGACATTACACTGTCTGCAGTCAAATCAAGAAGAGTTAATGTCAAACACGGGAAAAACCAGAATGCCTGCAAATAACTCAGAGTCGCTGACATCACAGTGCAGGTGAACTCCCTGACGGTGCCGAGTGCTGCACTATAAACAGCTCCTGCTCTGTGTGAGTTGCTAGGAGACCAGTTCATTTGTCTTCCCTTTCTTGAAGTAGTGAAAGAATAGCAGACAAATTAAGGTGGGCCCTGGGGAGTTCCCTTCTCCTTCAGAGAATTAGCTCTCCCCTGCTGGATCTTTGCACTCCGAAACACAGGCACATGCTGGCTTCTGCAGGACTCACTCAGGCACATGTATTTCAACAGCCGGGAAGTTGGTTTAAAAACTCAGGAGAGGCATGACACAGGTCAAATCCACCATGATAATAACCCTGTTTTGGTACTCATTCATAGGGAAAAACATCCTAAATCCTGGCTACAAATACAATAATTCTGAACACTACAAAAACTCGGGGAAATCGCTTAGAAAATCAGTGGAACTCAGAGCACAGTCTGACGTGATGAGCACAGCTTGAGAGATCACTCTGAGAGCCGGAAACATCGCACACCATATCTGTTTGTAATTCTGCTGTGACATTTCTCTTGGGGACAGGGTCTCACTGTGTAGCCAGGCTGGTCTAGAACTGCAATCCTCCTGCCTCAGCCTCCCAGGGCTGGGATTACCAACGAACGCTAACACATGCTACTTAAGTTCTGCACTTTGCAATCACACAAACTTTTTTAATTGCCAAGGAAAATGGCATTAGAGGTTCCGTACCATATGGCTTCTCGTCCGTTACCTTCCCAGTAGAATCCAGCGTGTCTGTAGCTTTCCCCAGTTCTCCAATGGCAATATATCTCTAGGAAAGGAAATGAGAAGGGTGGCCATGAGTAACTCAGGACAGTCAGGCATGCCTCCTAACAGAGAGAACTTTATTAATACTACCAACCCAAAACAACGTGAAGGTAAAAACAACACACTGAAATTGCCTTGTTGGTTTGCTTCTGTTGTGTGGGAAGCATTTGCAAGCCCAGAAACATTCAAACTCCCCACACCAGCCAACAAGAGAAAAACAAAACCCACCAAAATGGCTTCATGGCTTACATGTGCATACTATTATCACAAATTTCCAAAACTATTTTTATACTGGGCACACTGGCTTTTAAAGAAATTGCAGGTATAGTCGGTTCTATGAATTGTGAATTCCACATTCACACAGTTAACTATAGATTAAAAAAATATTCTAAAAAATAAGAGAGTTCTGTATGATTATGTGCAGACTTGTCACTATTCCCTGAGTAACCCAGGATGACACCTGCTTACATAGCGTTTCTTCTGTAGGAGGGGCTGCCTAGAGATACTCAGAAGTCTGAGTAGAAGGACTGAGGTGCCCGCATACATCACACCATGTTTTAGCAGGAGCCAAGGACCCATGGATTGGTCACCACAGAGGTCCTGGAACCAATACTCTCCAGAGAGTGGGGACATTATATGCCCGCAAGTGCAAAGGATGGTACAATAAACCATAGCATGGCTTACAAGAATCAATAATTTTACCAGACACACAATTGAAATGATTTCAAGTCAAATGATCTGGTACTATTCCATGAAATACTAACACCCATCTTAGTAAATATATCATGTAGGGAGCCACCATGATGTGCCAGCAGTCCTACAGCCTGGAGGTATACAAATCCTTTGATGTTGCCGCTCAGGCCAGTGTGCTTGGAGCCTTGTTTTGCATTTCAGAGACTCGGTTCCCTGACCTGTCCTGTGGCCTTGGGCCCTAGCAGAATGGCATCAACCAATCAGCATTCGAGCCTCTCATCCTAGAAAAGCGGCTGTCTTTGGGTTTTTCGCTCTCTCTCGTCATCCCTTTTCCCCATTCCCCCTTTCAATCAAGTAGCTCTAATAAATTGTGATTGAGAAGGATTCTTGATTTTGTGGTCATCCATTCCTGCTGGTCAGGAAGCGCGTCACAATATCACACATTTAAATCAAAGCTAGATATTGGAAACCCCTGGGCAACATGGGGTCAGAACACCAAGTACAGCAGAGGCATTCCTAGCCAGCAGCGTGCTTTCTCGAAAAAAGACTACTGACAGCAAACCTGTCTGAAAGGAAAATGTTTTTAGAATTGATCACTATCCATTAGGGACATTAGTTCTCATGGAACTAAGACATCCCAGCTGAGGTCTGGGCCGCGTCTCTCTGCACACCTGCGCCATGAAGTCTGTCCACCAGCTGATGCAGGTACACCGTGCAATCTGTCCACCAGCTGATGCAGGTGCACCATGCAGGCTGCCCCCCAGCTGACACAGGTGCATTGTGCAGTCTGTCCACCAGCTGAGGCACACCTGCGCCGTGCAGTCTGTCCACAGCTGACGCACACCTGCGCCGTTCATTCTGTCTACCAGTTGACTCAGGTGCACCATGCAGTCTATCCACCAGCTGAAGCACACCTGCGTTGTGCAGTCTGTCCACCAGCTGATGTACACCTGCGTCATGCAGTCTATCCACCAGCTGACGCAGGTGCACCGTTCAGTCTGTCCATCAGTTGAGGCACACCTGAACCGTTCAGTCTGTCCACCAGCTGACTCAGGTGCACCGTGCAGTCTGTCCACCAGTTGACGCAGGTGCACCGTGCAGCCTGTCCATCAGCTGATGCACACCTGTGCCGTGCAGTCTATCTGCCAGCTGACACATACCTGCACTGTGCAGTCTACCTGCCACTCTTTGGGACTAATTCTGCTTTTGTTGAGTGTTTCACGTGGAGTAGTGAGAAGGACAAAAAGACTATAATCTGGAGAAAATAATCTGCACCTGTGACTTTTACAGAGACACTCAGGCCAGCTGTGGTGCTGTACCCTTTAATCTTAGCACCTGGGAGGCAGTGGCAGTCAGATGTCTGTGAGTTCGAGGCCAGCCAGGGCTACATTAGTGAGACCCTATCTGGGGCCAAATCTCAAAGAATTTTGTAGAAATGCAAATTTATTAATGATAAGCTTGTGCTAGCAAAAGGACTAAAAAATGAAAAGAATATTAAAAATTGTAACTTCCACAAATATGCAGACATGACGGCAAACGGCCTTTGATGAAGGCACCGTCACACTGCATGGCTCATCTTTCCTGCACAAGCGCAAGGCAGGAGGGAATTCAACAAGGGTGAATCACTGTCTTAAAAGTTCATCAGGACTGGCAAAAATTAGTTCCTTAGAACCCGACACTCGGTTCCATCACCTGAGACACAGCTTCTCCTCAGCCCCATCCCCTAAGACACAGCTTCTCCCCAGCCCCACCCCAAGACTGGCAGCTCTCTCCCCAGCTCGCAGGAGTCAACCCTGAGTCAGCGTCCCACAGAGAGGGCGCAGAAGGATAAGCGGCAAGAGCAGAGGCTCAAACGCAAACTGGCAGGGTGGCAATTACAGCTCCACCACAGATGGTGAAGTGCTTAAGCACATCTTAATTGCTCTGAATGAGTTCATCTTAAAGTAGGGGGCAGTAATAAGTGCCTCACGAGAAGAGGCAAAGAATTTAAAACAACAGTTTCTGTCCGCGGTAAGCAATGGACAACAACCACTATCCCATAAAAACACGGAATGATTCAGCGTCTGCAGTGGTCAGTGACTCACGCAGCTACAGTGTGTTCTCACAGGTAGCACGAACGCTGGCTACACCGGGAGGATCAGAACACACATAAAAAAGCCAGGCACAGTGGCGTGTGTTTAGAAGACCAGTGATTGGAAGGCAGAGAGAACTGGACCCCTAGGGCTCGCTGGCAGCCAGGTTAACCTAGTCAGCGAGCGCTGGGTCCTGACGAGAGA